CTTCTCCAAGACATAGCTGTTTGTTCTTTGGTCAGTTCATGAGATCTTTATCCAGCACCACAGTTCAAAGGTGTCAGTTCTTCGATATTCTTATTCATTGTGCAGCTCTCAGCAGCAGAGTGAGGGAGAGGGAGAGGGAGAAAGAGAGGGAAGAGGGAGAGGGAGAGGGAGAGGGGGAGGGAGAGGGAGAAAGAGAGGGAAGATGGAGAGGGAGAGGGAGAGGGAACCCAAATGAGTGTTAGCTACAATGGACATATTATAGCCCTGCCCAGAGTAGATTCATCATATTCCTATCAGAATTGTTTTTTAATTATTTAGCTTTTAACTAATATAAAATTTGAATTTTTAAACTCTCCTCATTAAAACCATCTTCCAACCAGTATCAGAAGAAGACACAAAAAAGTATCATATATAATCCAGCTTTTCCTCAAGGTCATAGTAACGTGTTAACAATATGTGTTGACCTCAGAAGGGCTCAGAAAGTGTGGGTTGAATTAGAAGGGAAAGGGCATGGTAAAAGTTAAGCATGTCATCAACTCTTTCACAAGTTCTAACTGTAGAAATAAAACTACTCTAAACAAGGAGGCATCTTCAGAAGAAATGCGATCAAGAGAAATTAGCCTTGCCCTGGAATCCTCCTACAGAACAAAAGAAAGCATTTCAGCCCACCAGGGAACATTTCATATTAAGACACTTGTCAGATGAAGACATGGAACTGACTTTTGTTGTAACTGTCACATGTGAAATGAGACTCATCAGGTTACAGAAGTAGGTGTTTCTTAAAAGCCACCAAAAGTGGCAACAGAAAAAAAGCGCTGTGCAGGGTTCCTGGGAGGGGGGCAGGACAGAAAGCCTGACTCCCAGGTCTCTGTGCCCCTCAAGTACTCAGCTTCCTCACCTGTACACCTGGGGCGGGTGGAGGGGGGAGAGGTCAGATGAAAACAACCAGATTTACTGCGTTGGGTCAATTCCAACTCACAAAACTTTACCACAGCGTTTTCAGAACTCTTATCTTTACAGAAGCAGATTGCCACGTCTCTCTTCCACAGCACTGCCCAGTGAGTCCAAACCCCCAATCTTGACATTAGTAATTGAGCACAAACCACTCACCTCACCCATTGTTGTTGTTACGAGGTTCTGTGAAGTCTGTTATGACTCCTCGTGACCCTGTGAAGAGCAGATGTGAACCTTGCCCTATCCTGCACAGCTCCCACCATGCTCAAGCCCATTGTGGCGGTCACTCTGTTGAAAATACTCTTCTCCTAAGCTGACTTTCTCCCTTTCCTACCATGTTATCTCTCTCCAAGGAGAGGTTCCTCTTGAAACTATTCCAAAAGAAAATGAGACACAATCTCACCATCCTTGCCTCTAACGAACGAGCACTCTGGTTGCATTTCCTTCAAGTCAGATTTATCTGCTCCTTTGGCAATCCATGGTGTATTGTGTACACTTCTCCAACACCAGAATCGACAGACATCAATCCATTCTTCTTTGGTCTTCCTCATTCATTGTCCAACTTGCAGTTGCGTATGATACTTTGCCTCAAAAATTCCACTCACTTTTGAGGACCAGGTAGATTGTGCATAATATGTGATCCACCTTTGAGGTTAGATAATCAAGGTAAAGTTCTTAACTTGAGACCTATTGAGGGCTCTCTGTAGGTGGTGTGTGTCGGAACTAACTCATAGTTTGACCCTCCAGCAGGTCAGTGATGGAGTAAATTGTATGAGAGGAGAGTGCTCATTCTTCTCCCCCTGAGCAGCCGGTGGATTCAAATCACATGCCTGCTTACCACTAGTTCTCTATTGAGGGCCCTCTAGTGGCTTTTTAAAAAAAAAAAATCTCTTGAAAATTTTGTGGCTTTAGGCTAAGTTTTTGTAAAACCTTGACCCTAAGGAAGGTTAAAAGACACATGTTGTTCAGCTTGATCAAAAGTTCTATACCTGAATCCTGATCAAAAAGGGGAAAATACAGAACAGAATTTCAAATTCACACAGAATCCAGATGTTTGGAGCTACAGAGGCTGGATGAACCCTAAAAATTATTGCATTGAGATAACCTTTAAATTTTGATCATGAAACCAAAATTATCCCATGTTCTTAAAAACAAAATAGCAGTTTACCAGAATGCCAGCCTTGAAAAGTGGGCTCTTTTCAAGATCTTTATAGATGGGATCAAACTGACAAAAAGCAACTCTAAAAAATTAGGTAGGAAAATGAGGGGGCCATGAATGTATGTTAACTGGGAAGAAACCACTCAGAAAAAATTAGTCTGAATCATTGCACAAACCCAGGAACGTGCTAGATTCACTGGACTGTAGTCTCAACGACAAAAAGGAAATAAATCCTATTTCATTTATTTCAAAGACAAGTATTGTTTGCCTGACAGTAAGAACTGCTTGGATGAAGGAGCTTCAAAGATAGAGGAGGTGGTCTGGGGGCCTCAGCAACGGTTCCTCTACCCTACGGCTCCCAGTTGTCAGCTTTTACTCATTGCATAACTGTTCTTTTGAAAACCAGGCAACAAAACTCCCAAAAGAAAAGTTATTGATTATTAAAGGTTATTTAGAGGCTTAAAGACTCATAATAAAGTGGCTATAATTATCCCTGCTATGACACATCCTTTTAAATGCTTGGATCTGAGAACTTTCTGCTTGCCTTGACTCAGTCATCTTCATCCCAGAGAGGAAGGCAAAGAGCTGGAAATAGCTCCTGTGTGCAGCTACAGGCAAAGTGTCCCCAGGAAGGGAATAAATTGAAGTCAAGTCTGTGGCAAAAGCAAGGAAGAACCCAGAAGAGCCATCTCCTTGCCCCAGGACCGCAGTCTCCCAGCCACAGCCCCTCTGCTCCTCTGCCCCTCCTCAGACAGAGCTTCCTGTGTGGATAGTTGCATAACAACCACCAGGTCTTCTCTGGTTAAATATGCATCTCCTATGAAAATGAACAACAGTAAGAGGAGATCTGAAAATCAGAAAAAAGCAGTTCTGGAAATACAGCCATATATTTCTGATTTTCGTGACAATAATAATTAGCAATTTTGAGCTCTTAATCTGTGCCGAGGAGCTCTGATGACATCTGTAGAGGGTTGAGCCTCAAAGGTTGAGCCTTTCTGGCCGTTCAAATCCATCAGCAGCTCCTTAGGAAAAAGAGAAGCAATTCTCTCCCATGCAATTGACAGTCTCTTGAAAACTCACTGAGTCAATTCCAACTTGACAGCAGTAAGTTGTTATGTTTCTTTGTTTTCTATTTCAGACACTGCTCTAAGTATTCCCCATACATAGCTGCTTTTAATCCTCATAAAGATTAAATCTTGGTACCAGCAGTCAGGAAATCAGAGACTTGTCGCCCTGGAAAAGTCTGAAATTAGGGAACTCTCCAAATTACTGAGAAGCAATCAAGTTGTTTGAGGACTAAGGTGCATCTGATTCAGGCCATGGTCTTTCCAATCACCTGCTATGTATGCATCTGAGAGCTGGACAATGAATAAGGATGACAGAAGAATTGATGCCTTTGAGCCATGGTGTTGGAGAAGAGCATAGAATATTCCACGGACTGCCAAAAGAACAAACAGATATGTCTTGAAGAAAGTGCAGCTAGAGTGCTCCTTGGAGGCAAAGATGATAAAGCTTTGTCTCACATACTTTGGATCTGTTGTTGGAGATGCTATTCCTTGGAGGGAACGTCATGCTTGATGTTAGGTAGGGGATAGGTGAAGGAGAGGAAGACCCTCAACCAGGTGGATTGACACAGTGACTGCCACAATGGGCTCTAGTGTGTCAGGAAGTGTGAGGATGGCACAGGATAGGACAGGATTCATAGGGTCTGATCTGTTGTTCATAGGGTCACTATGGGTCATACTCAACTCAACAGCACCTAACAACAACAACAATCCTCATAAAACTTCATGAACTTTTTGTTGTTGTCTTCCATTGGGGTTGCAGTGCAGCTTCTTGCCACCAGACCACCAGTGCTCCCTAGATATGATTATTATTTCCATTCAATAGATGAGAAAACTGAGGCATAAATTGGACACAATAATGCACAGCACTGGGGTCTTGGGGGCCAGGGTGGCTCAGTGGTAGAATTCCCACCTCCCATGTGGGAGACTGGAGTTCGATTCCTGACCAATGCGCCTGAAAGTGCTGCCACAAATTGACTGCCAGAGGAATGGTAGAAGCTACGAGGTTGAACAGGCTTCAGTGGAGCTTTCAAACTAAGACAAACCAAGAAGAAAGACCTGCTTATCTACTTCTGAACTCAGCCAGTAAAGACCCTGTGAATCACAGTGGTCAGATCCCAGTCCCACGAGGCCATGAGGAGTCGTGGACCGACTGACCACAGCTACTAACATTCCTAGTGTGAGGAACAAGTCGAACCCAGTCCAGGTGGCTCCAGAATCCCCTGTGCACTGTTCCCTGTTAAGGTTCCAGCCTTAGTCTTGGGCTGAACAGGAAGGTAGATCTGGAAGGACTAGGTCAGGGAAGGCTTTTCTTGTGTGAGAATCTTCTAGAACACTGAATGTTTGTAATATGTGGCCTTTTTCCTTTTCATGCTTCACTTGAATCTCCAGTGTCCTTCCATCCCTCTGTCTATTCCTCTGTGTTGTTTCTATCTGCTCCACAACTATTAGCAGAGCCTGACACTGCAGGGTTCTGGGGTCATCCAGAGAAGACAGACAGTTATGAATCCTTGAGTGAAGCACAAATTAAAGGAGCAGAAACGCCCACACCAGGCAATGAGTTCTAACGAAGGTGCACCGTGTTCTGGATAGAAAGAGAAAATTCAACTTGGGGAGTGGCAGGAAGTTTTCACAGAAGGTGACAAAATCAGGTGGGGGTCAAAGGGGAAGGATTGGCCCAGGGGCAGAAGGGGAGGGAGCCTGTAGAGAGACAGCCAGCCTAAAAACTACTCCAGTCACTGCACATTCACAGGAAGCTGACAACAACTCCGGCTCCTCTGTGTTCCCAACTCCAGGTTCCATCTGCAACCACCAGCCCCAAGATGATGTCCACACTGCTGCTGCTTTCCGCCCTGGCCAGCCTCTTCATGGGCGAGGCAAAGGGACAGTCACTTCAGGCTGGGAAGTGCCCAGATCCTCCTGTGCAAGAGAACTTTGACCTGAACAAGGTGTGGTAATAGTCTTCCCCATTTATAGTCTTTTCCTCCTGGGACCAGATTCAGTTTTCCATGTGTATGTATGTGTGAAGGAAGGGAGGGGGCAGCTGCAGGGTGGCAGGGCTCAAACGCTCCCCTACTGCTAACTCAGGGCTGGAATCACCCTGATCATCTCTCCATGATGGTCATTGCTTCTGAGTACTGTCCCGTCAGGAACCCCTCATAGCTGACCCGCCAGTGAGTTTTCAGAGGCAGTAAGTCACATGTAAATTGCTCCTTGGTAGAAAGTTTAAATCTCCTTTAAGGAGAAACATTCACGGTAAGACCAATTTTGAGACTGGTATTAGTCACTCCCACTTCCATGGGAATGAATGTGAGACTTCTCAGGGGTTGAGCCTCGGGAGAAGTAAGTGGAAAGAAGGCTTGAAGCCCATCAATAAGACTGAGAGCTCACACCGGTGAGAGATAAGAAGGGGCGGGAATGCAGTATACTGACTCACACAAACTCACTCATTTTACTAAGGATTGGCGTTTTTATGCAAATAAACTGATGGACTTTACAGGAGTCTTTACAGAAAAGACTCTGTATTCAAGTCCCCAGTTTCTCTCCCTAGTGGCAACCAGTAAAAACTATTAGGTAGCACAGTAGGTTATATCATTGGGCTACTAACCACGAGATTAACAGTTTGAACCCATCAGCTCCTCCACAAGAGAAAGATACTCTCCTCAGGAAACCAAAACGCAATGGAGGGTTCTCATGAATTAGAACTGACTTCATGACAGTGGGTTTGGCTTTGGGCTTGTGTTTCTTTTGGAGCTAAACTACACAGATTCTGAATGATCCCGGAGAGATCCAGGTTCTGGCCTAGTGGCAAGAAGCTGCACTGCGATCCTAAAGGCACATGATTTAAATCCACCAGCTGCTCCCCAGGAGAAGAATAGACAATCTCCTCTAAAGTAACTAACTGCTTCTGAAAACCTACTTGAGAGTCAGCTACAGGACGATTCTGACTTAATAGTACAAAAAAACAACAATTCATTAAACCTGTGATTAAGTTAGCTTATGTAGAAAAAGGGAATTTGCAGATGGGAGTACAGTAACAAACCTTGACATGAGGAGATTGTTGAAGTGGGCTGAAGGTCTTTAAAAGCAGAGAACATTTCAAGGGAGCTCTGGTGGCCTAGTGGTAAGACGCTGCACTGCAATCCCAGAGGTATGCGGTTCAAATCCACCAGATGCTCTGCTGGAGAAGGAGGGGGCAATCTCCTCCTGTACCAGTCAGATCTGATTTGACGGTACACATAAAAATAATACAATAAAGATTAAAAAAAAAATTAAAAAAAAAAGCAGAGAACATTTCCCAGTGGTGAAAGATTTAAGACTTAATCATTGCTGGCTTTGATGATAGCGGGAAGGGGTCACAAGCCAAGGAATGTGGGGTCCTCAAAAGGTGGGAAAGATAGTCTCCCTGAGAGGCTCCAGAAAGGAAGATTATTGTTGTAGTGGTGGTGATGGTGAGGTCAAGCATGACTCATAGCAGCCCTGTGAACGAAAGATCTGAACCCTGTTCTATTCTGCACTGTCTTCATACTTCCTGACACACAAGAGCCCATTGCAGCAGTCACTGTGTCACTCCACCTGGTTGAGGGTCTTCCTCTCCTTCACTGACCCTCCACCCTTCCCAACATCATGTCTTTCTCCAAGGAACAGCACCTCCTAGCAACATGTCCAAAGTATGTGAGACGAAGCCTCATGATAAGGTTTCAAAAGGGACATAGTTACACTGATATCTTTATATTAGCTCAGTGAGAACCACATCTGACCTATAAAAATGTAAAATAAGGATGTATGTTGTCCTAAGCTGCTAAATTTGTAGGAATTTGCTAGAGTAGAGATAGAAAATTAACATCATAATCATTTCCTCCATTTACACTAGAAGCAACATCATACACACAATATTTTGCACTATGTATTTTTTCTTTTTTTTGCACTATGTATTTTTAATTCAATATTTAGAGATGATTTCATATTATTCTTTTAAAAGAAGACCGATACATAACATTATGTGCCTTCATTTGTTTACTTAGATCCCTACTAAAATGTTCATTTAGGCAGTTTGCACTCTCTCAGTATTACAAATGATACTACAGTGAATGCACCATTTCTTGTATCTGGAGAACAACATTTTCCTGGAAGGGGAATTGGTGGCTAACGTGCCCCCTGTAGAGGCTGTAAATTAGTTGTTCTCTGTTGTTGTTGTTGTTATGTGCCCCGTCAAGTCCTTTCTGACTCATAGCGACCCTATGCACAACAGCCCTAAACCCTGCTCTATCCTGCGCCAACCGCACTGCCTCTGACACACCCATCCCGATTACCCCAGT